TGGATTTTCTACTTCATCTCTGTACCTTGACTTGGGTGAGTGGGATGTAATTTGGGGCACCTCCCTTATGAGGAAAGGCTACAGCATTTGGGACTCATATAGAGAAAAGGTGCTGGACGGGGGGTGGGGGGACCTGATTGAGATGTGTAACATTATGCAGGGGGTGGATAAAGTGGATAGAAGGAAGCTCTTTTCCTTCTCACACAATACTAGAACCAGGGGACATCCATTCTAATTGAGTGTTGGGAGAGTGAGAACAGACAAAAGAAAATATTTCTTTCCCCAGTGTGTTGTTAATCTGTGGAACGCCTTGCCACAGAATGTGGTAATGGCACCTGGCCCAGATGCCTTTAAAAGGGGATTGGACAGATTTCTGGAGGAAAAGTCCATCGCAGGTTGCAAGCCTTGATGGGGATGCATAATCTCCAGGTTTCTTATGTTCTTATGTTACGTTCGGATGCTCTTCATCCAGCAATTGTCTAGTCCTGTTCTTCATAGCAAGTTTTTTCCTTCATCCTTGATGGAAATATATATATATTAGTTGAGCCAATTGATTATATAAATTTGATTAAGGATACCAAGTTCTAACCTGTAATATTTAAAAAGGATAAAAAGCATAATACATAAGCCATAAACAAAAAATTGTTCAGTTAAGCTAAATAAATAAAAAGGGTAAGAATTTTAGATACCTCTGCCTTTCAAAAATGGATAAACAAGGCAAACTTTTTAATCAAATGATTTTCTGTTGATAATTTAATTCTGTTTTAAAACAAGTATATTTAAACTGAAAATGTGCTCTCCTTCCTTACTTTTGGGGGTATTTTTGTTGGGCACAACAAACCTCAGCCTTTAGAAGTGTAGCAGTCATTTATGTATTAACATTTTCCACCATAGTCTTTTTTTAAAAAGCAGTATTTCTTTGGATTTCTTGTTACCTTGAGAACACTTGTATCTTGTACCTTGAGAAGACTTTTATTGGCAGTGATTCCATATTACAATTGTTTTTTCTGTTTTCCCCAAAAATACGAAGATAGTAAGCCTTCCATTTTATACATCTCTAAGATAACACTTGATATATTTCAGCCAATTTATACAGAGTTAGGTACAGTTGGTAGATCTATTCATAAGAATGTCCTTTAAGATTTGCATTTATTAATAGTTTTAGGATTGTTACAAAAGGCCATTTCCACTCTGTTAGCTGTAATAAGAGTACTAATAAGCTGTGTTTATCTCTATTTAGATCATTATTCCGTTTATTTTAATAGGTTGGATGTGTGAAAGATAATGTTAACTTTGCAAGTAAGGACTATAGTTTACTAAATACTTAGAGATAGGCCAAATTTGTAAGCAGTGTGCCCCCAAAAGTGTAAGCTCTAGGTGTGCCATATTGATTTATTATCTCCTACATAATGTGTTAAAGTTGGAGGCATTTTAAAAAAGGCATGTTATCTTTGTTAGTTTAGTAATTAGCTATTTGTAAGATATTATATGCCTTTGTGTAACCTGTTTTGCAAAATGTAGCATTTTACCCCAGATGGCAACATTAACTGCCTTGTAAAGCTCTGCTATCACAAGTTCACTGTACAAGCAGTTGATGAAATGCTTGAGGTGATTTTGAAAAATGCTGATTCCATATTTTTAATGCCACTTTTGTAGCTCAAACAGAGATAAATTGGTAGCATGGTTTCTGAGTTTGCTCCAGAAGCACTTCTAGAGATGTCTGTTACATAATTTCTGTTCTGCTAATATTGAGCTGTCATGGTTATACTACTGCAACATTAAAGGTAATTTAATTGGACAGTAGTATCAAATAATAATTGGCATGCCTAATCATCCTTTATTCCTTTTCTGATGAAGGTTCTTTTGAGCTTTAACTAATGAATTTAAGTGTCACAGAACAGAAGAACAGAAGATACGTGTGTGTGTATTTTAGTTATTATGACACTTGCAGTGTGAAAAATATACTGATGTGTTTTTAGAACAAGAAGCAACATCACAAATTTTGAAAATATTTAATGAAATCTTCTATGTCTGGTTGTACATAAAACAAAAATTTGTAGCTGGATTTGGAGTTTTCTGCTTCTGGAATACTAATGTTCTGATTATATTTTCTTGAACATTTGCAGGAGAAATTTCATTTTTTTTAAAAAAATGTTTAAACTCTGTGAAGATGAGAAAACTTCCCATTCCATATAATCATCACCACCATCATCCCCTATGTGGGCACAGGCTTTGTTGGGCCGGGGGGTGGGGAGAATTGCACATTTCTGTGAGGTTGAGAGCTATGCTGAAGGGTCTCCCAAGCCAGACAGATCTCAGCAGACTCCGTTGAGGAACCAGGACAGGGTGCTGCAAAGCTACTGGAACAATGTAAATGCAAAACTTGGACTTTCACCGAAAATTCAGAAATTATGAAATGTTATTACGCAGCAAACCCAACAGCCCACGGTTTAAAAAAAAATGATGGAAATTTTGAAAAGGAAACACCCAAGTAGCAACGTAACTGAACAGTGATTAATGGACCAGAGAAGGTTTATCATCTGGAGCAAAGTGTTTTCAGAACAGGAATTGCAAGAACTAGAAAAGGTGCAAAAGAAAAATCAGAACAATGACACTAGTATGGAAGACAACTGGAGGGTAGAGGTAGACAGTGTAGTAAAAGAAAACATATCAATAGAGGGAAAAACGTATGGAACAACCCAGAAATTATGAGTTGACAGAACAGCAAACGTGACTGACGGAAAAAAATAGTAACTCATATTATCCAGAACACAGAAATAGAATAGAATAACACTTTATTGTCATTGCATGTGCAATGAAATCACCAGAGTGCTGTCCAGAAAAACACACTTCAGTGGTCCCCGTAGTCATTGGGGCTTTGGGAACATGTGCCAGTCAATATTTTTATAATTTTGACTGTGCCTGGAGTTTTTGAATAATAATAATAGCATTCAAGATTGTTTCATCAGATAAGGTGTTACAAGGAGGCAGGGGAGGAAGGGGAAAGAGGCAAAGACTTCGAAAAGAGGTTAGAAATCAGTTGTCATTGTGGGGGGTTCAGAGAAACAGCAGATATTCAAATATGGCTCCCTCTTGTTAAGTATGCTGGTGTCAAATTGCAGCAAAAAGTTACTTTATTGATTGAGAACTAAGAGGTCAGGGGAGTCTGATGATCCTCAGTTTTTGCAAAATTAAAATCCAGCTGTAAATTTTATCCTTCCTTTATCCTGTTTGAAGTGCATTACTCCCTTGTTGTTAATAGACATCAGACATGCATTCACTAGGAAGATATCAGATCTGGTGATAGTTTAGGATTTCACTAGGCATATAGGACATATTGAATAGCATTACCTGTTGATTAAAGTGTGAATCCCTGGCAGTCTGTAGCCTTCCTTATCACTCTTACCACTTTAATGTGCACAAGAAGCCATGTTGACCACAGTCCAGAATCCAAATTTCACATCAGTGCAATACCTTTTATTAGGCCACACTGCCAGATTGCCCTGGCCCACCAAGAAAAAGAAAAAACCAAGGCACAAAAACATGTGCAAGCTTTCAGGCTTCTGGGACGCTATATCTTCCTTTCAGTTTTTTTCCCCTAGTGTTTTTTTTCATAGTGCATTAGGTTTCTTTGCTGACTCTAATACTAGAGCACTTGTTCCCAACTTTGGGTAACACATGTGTTCTTGAACTGTAATTCCCAGAAGCCTTCACCACCAGCTGTGCAGGCCAGGATTTCTAGGAGTTGCAGTTGAAGAACATTCGAGTTACCTAAGGATGGGAATCACTGTACTAGAGCAGCAGGCTGTGCCTGGCCCTCCTGGGATCACTGCCAAGTTCTCTGATGTTCTGCAGATGACCATACTCCTTCGGTGTCAGTGTTTGGATGGATCTCTTCTCATTTCAAAAGTTTAATTCCTGCTTTCAATGACAGCTGCATTGAAATCATGTTGGTAAAATATCTTGAAGATTTAAACTATTATATAGTATAAATGATAATGCTATATCATTTTGGTAGGTAAGGAAGTGACCAGATTCTGCACAAATCTTCAGGGGCTTAGTACTTACAAAACAATCTACACAATTGTTTGTATCACTGTGTGATGCACTATATCCAAGATCATGGACTTGAATATGTAAACGTCTAGTCTTTTCTGATCAAGAATCAATGTTACTATGTTAGCTACTGAAAAGAGGAAATTACTCATTTCTTGTGTTTAACAGTGCAGTCTTGTGCCTATTTATTTCTCCTGTTTGTTGAGTGATGCTTATTGCCAGGAAACTATTTCTTTTAATTGCTTTTAATTGTTACTTTATTTTATTATAGTTCTTAGCACACATGTTGAATAACGCGCTCATACTAAAAAGCACTTCTGTTTTGGCATTGGAAAAATGTGGCATGATAAAGAATGAGTTAATGTTCCGATATATCTGCCCACAAAAAGGACATGGAACTTTGAAAACAGATGATTGAAATGTAATTTTGATAGTGAAATAACACTATTGCCAGTTTGTTTTAAAAGAAGAAATGGAGATGGTACACTGAACTCCGGATCTCACACTGAGCAGTGTCTATCTCTAGTGCTTCCTTCCTACTCTCTTCTTAATATAGTTCCTTGAAAATCCTGCACGGTTCCAGAGTAGAAGAAAAAATTTTGAGGGAATGCATTTTAAGGAGAATTAAGACCTTTGATTATTAAGTAAGCAAAGCAAGAAATGGAAGGATTTTTTTTAAAAAAAAACCCAAAACTAGTACACCAAATGAGAGCAGAAGATACAAGCTGTGCACTGTATTTATGGGCAGGGAATGTACATACTATCATTGTGTGATTAGAGTTGCAGAGGAAATCAGACTGAGCCACAATCAGAATTGATAAGAAATGTTTTCGAAAGAAAATTCATTGTCCTGCATATACATTTGAGATACTACAAAGCAAGCAATTTTCTTTATAGTATTTGATTTCTTTGAATTAATCACTGTCATTGTTTTTTGTTTTTAGGACTGTACAGTATATGAAACGGAGAACAAAATTCTTCATGTGGTGAGTAACATTTTTATTATCATCATCATATATAATAACATGTAACCCAGTTCTCCAGTTATCACTCCTTATGGAGCCAGAACTCCAACAACTCACAATAAGGTGTTAGCACTCTCATGGAAATTCCAGAGTTTGCATGTATGTATAAAATTAAAAGTATCCTTACTGCATAAGAAACACACTAGCATAAGAAAATAAAAAAGCTACTGCACAAAGCAGTGAAATCAATTATAAAGCAATACAGTGGGAAAAGACTTTCAAATCTTATCTATAGAAGGCAACAGAAGGGGGCTTAAAGATTTCTTCAGAGTGAGAGTTCCGCTGCTGTTGTACTATCACAGGCAAGCAGCTGTGCTGATGCCAGGCAGTCTAGTGCCAACTCACACAGTAAGACTTTTGGTGTGAAGCTATGGCTTAAATGGCTTTGTATTATCCTAGAGCCTTTCAATAGAGACTAGCAACAAATCTGAGTTTATGCAGGATTAGTTTAATATGTGGTAACAGTGTGTGTCTTGTGTGGCACTCTTCCTCCTCCAAGTGTGTGTCTTTCATCCTGTTCTGTTATAATGATTCCTTTTCTAGTCTACCAAGTGGTTCTGTTAAAATCTCGGAGGGTTTGACAGTCAGCCCTGCAAGTACAGTACTCTGTATTCTCATTCAGGTAGCCTTTCTGAAACACAGCAGTCTAAAATTCACATGTAAAGAGTATTTTTTGTTGCTCATGACTCATCTGGTAGTTGGAGTCTACTACTGACAGCTCAGTCAGGAAGAAGATGCAATGAAACCTTTAGAAAATAAATTGCAAGGATTTCAAAGAGACACAATGTCACAGTAATAGGAAATGTCAATTATCCTAGTATCTGTTGCAAGGCAAATTCTGCCAAACTTGGCCCTTCCAAGAAATTTCTTGCATATGTTGCTGATAATTTTCTTCTATAAATAGTGGAGGAAGAAACTGGAGAATTAGCCATTTGGACTTGATTCTAACCAATAGAAATGACTTAATGGAATGAGTGGCAGCAAGAGGAACTCTGGGGGAAAGTGACTCTGTTCTACTGGAGTTCTTGATTTCAAAGGAAGCAAAGCGAGTGTAACAACATATGCACATTAGATTTTAGGAAAACCAGTTTTAATAAACTCAGAACAATGATAGACAAGGTCCCATGGCAGGAATTTCTGACAGGAAAAGGATTCCAAGATGTGTGGCCGCTTCTTAAAATGAAATTCTAAAGATAGGACTACAAACCAGAAAAAAAAATGAAGACAGCAAACAAAACAAAAAGCTCAGAGAGGGCCTGAAGAAAAAAAAAAGGACACATATAGGAAGTGGAAGGCAGTCTAGGCTACAAAGGAGGAGTACAGGCAAGTAGCAAAGAATTGCAGCAATGACATTAGGAAGGCAAAAGCTGAGAATGAGTTGAGGTTAGCAAGAGATGCTAAAAGCAACAAAAAAGCATTCTTCAGGTTCATGAGTAGCAAAAGACAGAGAAAAGAAACATTCGTTCAGCTACTCAGTGGGGATGGAAAAATAACAACAGACAACAATGAAGGCAAATCCTTACTTTAGCTTGGTCTTTTCCCAAATAACAGTACAGTATGTAACCCTTCAGGTTGAAGTACAAGCTGGCGTGATTGGATTGCAGCTTGAGATTAATCGGTCTTTTCCCAAATAACAGTACAGTATGTGACCCTTCAGATAAATGTAAAGTACCAGCTGGAGTGATTGGATTGCAGCTTGAGATTAATAAACAAATAGTCAAGGAATGCCATGTTACTTTGAATGAGTTAAGATCTCCAGGGCTGTATGAATTGCATCCAAGTGTATCGAAGGAACTGGCTGAAGAACTCTCAGAACCACTGTCTATTCATTTTTCATTTCTTTTTTTTAATTGTGGAGGATGGGTGAAGTGCTGGATGATTGGAGGAGGGTTAACACTATCCCTATCTTCAAAAAGGGGGAAAAAGGAAGAACATGGGAACTGCAAACCAGTCAGCCAGACATTAATCCTAGGACAAATACTAGAGCAGATCATAAAATGGTCACTCTGCAGGGAACTTGAAAACAATGTATTAATAACTAGAAGCTGTCATGGATTTGTCAAAAACAAATATTGCCAGATTAATCCAATTTTTTTCTGATTGAGTAACCTCCCTAGTAGAATGCTGTAGACGTGGTATATATTGATTTCAGCAAAACATTTGACAAAGTGTCCATGGTATTTTGATTAGCATGCTAACCAGATGTGGGCTGGATAGAACTATCAAGTAAATACTGTACACAGTTTGTTACCAGATCATCCCCAGAGAGTTATTATCAGTGGTTCCTGATAAGGAGGTAACAAGTGGTATACCACAAGGCTCAGTCCTGGGCCTGGTGCTCTTTAAAATTCTAATATTTTCTTGGATAAGGGGGCGCAGGTAATGCTTATCAAATTTATAAATAACACAGAATGAGTGTGCTCAAATGTTGATTAATGGTGAAGAAAATTCCATCCTTGGTACTGCTGGCACTGAGAAGCAGTTCTTCCTTGTTAGGAGTGAAGTGAACCAGTATAAACAGGGCACTGTAATAATCACTCAATTTCCCATTTATCAGATTTGAATCTGGTTGTCAAAGACTATTGCTTCTGCAAGTTCCTCATACCAGTCTTGTGTGGGTTAAGGGCTGACTGAATTTGGTGCTCAACTCAGTTATTAACAAAAATTGTCAAACTCATAAGACTGTTGTTATTGTTATGCTGCCACAATTTTCCCAACAAGGGACCCAAAGCGGCTTGCTGTCAAAGTAATCAAAGCAGAGTGATTGGTATGAACTGAATATCTGTTTCCTGGTTTTCATTAGCACAGTCATGCATTTTTGCTTGCAAAAGCGTGATAAGGATATATGATTTTTAATTACTGGAATTATTTTATATAATATTTACAATATATAGTACATAGGCATACAAATATAGCACTTTGTCTTTATCCATGTCCTGTAGAGATGTCCTAAGAGAGTTTTCTCAGTAGGGAGGGTTTTTTTCCTAATAATGACCTTACATGGCAGTGCTACACAATCATACCAGGTTCTTGCTGCTCTTCAGACACTCATTATGAGTTCATATGAAATCAGTCTTTTCTTTCTTTCTTTCTTTCTTTCTTTCTTTCTTTCTTTCTTTCTTTCTTTCTTTCTTTCTTTCTTTCTTTCTTTCTTTCTTTCTTTCTTTCTTTCTTTGAGTAAAGGAATCATAAGGAATGTATCAAAGGTCATAAAACTTTTGTACTATAGAATTACAGCTATAGAATTAAAATAGATTAATTTTATTTCCCTGTAACAGTTGTGGGCAAAGTGTAGTCCTCCAAATGTTATGGCATAGCGATTATAGTCACTCCTTATCAGTGACTATGCTCGCTGGGTCTGATGGGACTTACAGTCCAAGAACAGTTCACTTTGTCCATTCAGACTTGCAGAAGAGTCCAACATATATGATGTGGAATAGCACTGGGGATCGTTTAGCTCAAGATTTCAGCCCCATAAAGCGAGGTTGAATTATTCAGGAGCACTTGGTCAAAAGAGGTAACCTCTAATTGCATGCTTCTGGGTATGTGTAGTAAAGCAGGAATAAGAACACCATTAATAAAAGTCATTTATTTGGTGTAATTGTATTTGATTTGATTTAATCCAATCCAACACTGCTTAAACATCTCCAACAAAGAACATTTGACAATATAACATAAATGGGAAAAATAAAAAGGCAAGTAATAGCATATTGTATTTGATTCCTATGTCTGTATGTTGAAAAGTGCCTTGGGACAGCAGTAGCTTTGATATTTATTCTGCTCCAACATTGGCTTTGGATCCAGCGACCTGTATGGTTGAACCATCCACTGGATGGTTGCTTCATAAGTGTTCCGTTCCCTGCTAAGCAGGAAGTTTCCAGCGATAATGTTCTGTTACAGGCTGTATGCCATATGGAGCTAAAGGAAAGTATTAAAAAAACAATAAAAACTGGGAAACACTTCAGCCTATAAGATGTCTAATTATCTGAATATGAAGAATGCCAGCCAATCACACAACTCTGCACATAACCTTTCACAATCATGTCAACAGTGCCAGTAGAAAAGATATCACCCCAAAGGGAATATCAGCCCACGCCACAAGTTATGGTAATCTCAGCCAGCTGTGGGTCTTCTCTTGCAAAATCTCTGGCAAGAGGAATATGCGTAGGTAGTGTAGCTGACATGTAATTGACAAGTTTTAATATTTTCTCATACCCAAAGAACTAGTTTGTTATATTGCAGTCAAAGAATATACTGATGTCCCAAATGAACATATGCTGACAACTGTCCCAGGTCTAGGTCTCTGAACATCTTGAAAAATGTCATTGTCACAAAACCAAATTACACATTGCATAATGTTCTTATGGTTACGCTGACTACTTTTATATGGAATTAAAGCAATTGTAGAATACCCCATCAGCAAGCATATGCAAGACCCCATGCTAGTTTTTCACTTAAATGTGTCCCCCGCTACCAACTGATATTTGCCACTGGAGGAAATTGTCATTTTTGTATGTGATAAAGATGCATAGGCTACATACCTCTCAAATTCACATAGGCTTTTGGACCTTAGCAACCTTCTCTTAAGTGAGTGAACTCTTTGTCTTCTGTATCAAACACTTACTATGATATAAGCTAGTTAGATGCATGTTTCAGAGAAACTCTAATAAACAGGTGTGTGTGTGTGTGTGTGTGTGTGTGTTTGTGTGTGTTCAGTGTTGTCAAGTCAGAATTGACTTATAGTGATCCTAGCAGGGCTTTCAATGTAAGTGAGATATTTAAGGATTGGTTTTACCAGTTACACTCCCCCAGCGAGCTTCCATGGCCAAGTGGGGATTTGATATCCAGAGTCCCAGTCCATCCCTCTATCTACTATGCTACATTGGGAATTCTAAACAGTTAGTGCTTATTAAAAGCAAAACAGATATCAGACTGCTGTTTTGAAGGGTGTTAGCTTCCAGTTTTGCATAAGAAAGTAGTTCAGATGTGACAGTGTGACAACAGAGTGTATCTCAAGTGCGTTATTAATTCAATCACTGTATAGGAAGTACCATCAAATCAGTGTGGCATAAATATTCATATCTGAGATATTGCAACCATGTTGGCAGATAACAGCTGAATCACAAGGGGCCTTTAAATGAGAAGTATCTAAAGCCAATATTCTAAAGTTGGGACATACCAGTCAGAAATATCTCAGAAGGTCTTCAGTATTATGCTAAAGATCACAAACTAGCAGGAAACACTTTTCTGATTTTCCCTAAAAACCCATTTTATATACTTTCCTCTGATTCTGTTGATGATCAAAAATCTGCACAAGGCAGGGTAGGTCTTACTGTATCACTTAGTAGATCCAATATTTCTTTCATGCACCTAATTATGCAATATGTTGGGTTCTACTGTCATGTTTTGCAAGATGTAAAAAGCAGGGCACTGCAACAATCAGATGTTGTGTATATTGTCTAATGGTGCATTTTAAGATTATATGGAAGATATTCCTAAAAGAGTTTTATCATACTCCAAGTATGTCATGGCTTACTTCTTATTTAAATATGACCTATTTTAATTTGTGAGCAGTTTGGCATGATTCTAAGGTTTCATTCAAACTGAAAGATCTTTGAGATACTTAAAATTATTTGCATGATTACATTTTCCATCATGAAAGATGACTGCGGATTAATTTTTTCTACTACTGCTGCAAATGTGTTAAAAAAATGAAAGGGAAACGTTTCTACATGTTTTCATTTGCAGCATTTGTGCCTTGAAGTATGGATTTGCTGTGATCATTTGTGGTTTAAGGGCATTATAAAGGGACTTCTATGTGCTAATACACCATCTTAGAGTCTGACTTCTGAATTTCGTTTTTTGCATATACAATTATATTGTATGTATTCTGTACAGAATTGTATGTATTCTAGTACAGGGTGATCAGTTTGTGGCACTCCCCATGTTGTTCAGTTGCATCTCTCATCAGCCTATCCAGCATGGCCAGCATATCATATCATTATTACTAGCCCAGTCATTATCATGAAAAAGAAAATAGTTTGAGGATTATCTGTGTTTGTGATACTGTTTCCATATAACAAAAATCAGCACCACTTTCCTTGAGGTGATTAAGGGTATTTCCAGACTTCTGTGTTTGCTTATGTGTAAACTATGCATATGTTTTCAGTGAAGGAGTACTGTAAGTATAGTTTGATATTAAATATATGCATCTGTGTTGTTTTATGGATTCTGGATATACAGTGGTGCCTCGCTTAATGATTTTAATTGGTTCCAAAAAAATCATCGCTATGGGAAAACATCGCTAAGCGAAACGCGGTTTCCCATTGAAATGCATTGAAAACCGGATAATCCGTTCCAATAGGAACGGATTGCTGTCCTTAAACGAAAATTGCCATAGGAAACATCGCTAAGTGAAACGCAGTTCCCCGATTGAAATGCATTGAAACCCATTCAATGCATTTCAATGGGGGGGGAAATTCAACAACAAATTAAAAAAGAGTCAGAACAAAGGCAAATTTGGTTAACAAAGGATTTATTAAGTGCATTTTATGATTTCAATCATTTTACACAGTAAACTTTACCTCTATAACATTTAAAAAACAGCAAACATGAGGCTGTTTAAACCATCGTTAAGCGAAACAGGGGACCCAAAAACCTAATTGTTATGCGAAGATGGTCCCGAAATCGCTAAGCGAAATTCAACCATAGGACTAGGGGCCATTCAAACTCAGACCTGGCAGGTCTGAGTTTGTAAGAGTGGTTTTCCCAGGGTAGGGCTCATCTATTGCATTTTACATCATTAAACGGAGTGCAAAAATGCTCCGAAAAAGTCATCGCTAAGCGAATTCATCGTTAAACAAAGCGCTTGTTAAGCAAGGCACCACTGTACAAGTATTTTAAGCATAGTGTAGGTCCCAGCTCCTTGTGCATTGTGCCTTTTAAATGCATCCACATTATGCCCCAAATTCTTTTGTGTAGCTACACAAATGGTGTAGCTTTTGGAGGAAAATTGCCCCAAATCAAGAAATCATTGTAGACATTCTCAGTAGTACATTGAGTCATACAACTCACTGTGCAACTGGTAATGTCTACAGTGATTTTTTAAACTTGGGGATATTAACTTCCAAACAGTAACACTGTGGTATGTCAGCATAATGAGGATAAGAGGACTTGGATTGTCAGAATTTAATTTTGTTTGTTTTCTTTTGGGTTCCTTTTAACTTATTTGAGTAGGCTCTGCCCATATAAATTACCTCCATCTAAGTTTTTTTGGGGTTTTGTTTGTTTTTTTGTTTGTTTCACTTCAGCACCCTCTGCCACAGTCCATCATGTTCATTTATGTTTCTTGACCTTTACTTATATGGTTTAGAAGGGCATGGAGCAGGAAGGAGGAAAAGTGTGACTGTCTACACAATCTCCTGCTGTCTGTTGTTTTGTTAACTTAACAGTAATCCAGTGAGATAGGCAAGTCTGTGGAATAATAAACATTACAACTGAGAGGGATCTGAACCTGTATTTCATACATCATGTTTAATAGTTGGTAGTTCCTTATATATTGAGGTACTCCATGCAAAATGAATCAGTGTTTGGAGGGTTGAATGTAGGTTTCCAAAAGTAAATTGAGGACTATAGTGAATGATTTCTTATTTCATTTTCAGTTAAAAATAAAAAACTTGATGGCATTCTTTGTCACAGAATACACCAGGGATGATGAAACACAGTGAGGTGTGAAAATGAGAATATAAATATTTGAGAATAGACTACTTTAAAACATTATTGTGAATTATGATCCAACTGGGTTGCACAGGCAGATGAAACCTATGTCAGGACAAGTCAGATGGTTCTTAAGGACTTTTTTCGTACATGCTAATACTCTGGAAGCAAGTCCCAGTATAGACGTGTTGATGGAAGTTTTCTTGCCCAGTCCTAGATTCTCTGGTTGCAATAATGAATTGTTCTACAATCCTGAGCTTTCTAAAATGAAAAGGGAGTGTGTTTGTGCAGTCAGATAATACTTGTGCAAGGAAATAAAAGATGTTTCTTTTCTGAACTACTTTTCCACAAAACGAAATTCATTGTTAGATGTCACGTGCCAGTCTTTAATTTGAAGATACAAGTTATGTTGCATTGTTTAAAATTATACACGGTACTATTGACTGTTTTGCTATTTCTTAAATGTCTTGGTTATTCATGGAAAATTTGCCTTTTACATTTTCTAGTGCAAGACTTTATCTGGTGTCTGTGACCACATAATCTCGCTTTCATCGGATCCTCTTGTGTCTCAATCTGCTCACCTGGAAGTGATCCAGCTAGCAAACATCAAACCAAGCGAAGGGCTGGTAAGATGTACGCAGTTAATCACAACTGTCACTTAGGATAAAAGAGATGACTTCTCTAAATAAGGCCTTTATTTGGCTTATATTTTATTACAAATGTGTTTTAAAGTAGCCACATGCGACATGAAAGACATTGCATATCACTGCTTATCATTGCATAGCATTCTCAAGGAAATGTTGGAAAATACAACAATTAGGATTTTTCCAACGTTTCCTTTTAGGATTTATGGAAGTTACCTCTGGTAACATTTGGAAGATAGGACACTTGACCCATCATCTTGAGCACATTTGGAAGAAACCTTAGCTCACCTCATATCCTTTCTTCAACATTACTTTCATGTTTCTTGCATTCTGCTAGTTATAAAATGTAGGACCATGGGTAGAATATTGCCACCTAGGTTATATCATGAAAAAGCCTATGAGCATAAGCGTACTGTGGTCAGATTTGTGAGGGCTCCTCAGATTTGGGGATGAGACATTCCTGCTGCTCATTCCATAAGCTAGCTTTCATATGAAAATGACTTTTGGGAGAGGGGTGTTTGGTATTTTAAAAGTGCTAAATAGAAACAAAACTGTTTGCTTAAAATGTAATCCCACATGTTTAAGATGGTCAAAGGCTAGCTGAGCTGACACTGGGCCATCTGAAGCTGTATTAAATCAAATCTCTCTCCCGTCTAGAGACACTGAAAGTTACTTAGGACTACACATATCATGGTCTTAATTTTTACAGGCATTATGACTGCAGAATTTTGCATCTAGCATAGTCTAGCTCCTTTCTCTACCCATTCTTTGCCCATGATTTTAATCTTTTGCCAGAAAATAATAACAAAAAGAGCAGTTCTATAATCAGATGGCTCCATTGGCAGATCTCTAAAATCATCCAACAGAAAAGGTTCCACCAGCAGGAATACTTTTTTTTGCCAGGAGGAACATCCTGGACCAACTCTTATCATTTATTACATTTAGATCCCTCCTCTCCCTCAGTGAGCTCAAAGTGGAGTACATGACTCTTTTCTTTCCTCTGATTTATCTTGCAACAGTCCTGGGAGGTAGGTGAGAGGGTGACTGGCATAAGATCATCCAGTGACTTTCATGACTGAGCAAGGATGTGAATCCTAGTCTCCTGTGTTTTAGGAGCTCAGGTCCTCTTTTCATCCTAATGCATCATTGAGTTAGAATTGTATATTATACATACTCACAGTCTTTTATTCACTTTCCTGAAATATTGGTAAGTCAACTTTTTACAACGAGTTTCCATGTTTTCTGGGTTTCTAATTTATGCCACAGTTAATAACTAAACCTGTTATTCTAATATTCTTCCATGTTATTTTAAAATATAATTAATATGTAATTTATGTCTACTTGATACAACTAGCCCTCAGCAACCCTTCTTCCTACTATACTGCTGTATAGCTTCATTCATAATCTTGTATTTGTCTAAATGCCATCATTGCAGGTAAATGCCATTTTCTGTATTATTGTCTGTTGTTTTTCCCCACTTCATGTGTCATTACATATTCTATCTGCAAACATAGTTCCCTCTCACTATTTCATGACAAACCTTTCCTAATTCAGCTCTCCTTTTATAGTTTTCTTCTTCCAGAAATGTCCCTTATGAGGTGACCCAAATTATTTCCTTTTATTATGAAATTTCTCTCTTTCAAGCCTTTGTCTGTATAGATGGTAAGATTCTCAGTGTCTAGGGGTGTTTATTCAGTACTTTTGTGTTATATATATGGTTTAATGAAACTTAATAGGATGTTATGTCTCTTAATAGGACTTTATGAATTGCACAGATGCATAACACATTCAGTGTATTTTCAGGTTTTTGGGGTTTTTACCAACTCAGCTATATATGATTCCCTTCTTTTACTGCATTTTTATCCTACAAAGCAGGTCTCAGTGTAACTTGTTTCCTGAAACACATTTGCATATTTTAAATTTCTGTTAAAAGAATGAGTTGTAATGAGTATCCTGTTAATGAATTACTTGTTGTTTTCAATAATGGTTATTATACAAGTCTAAATGGCTGACTTTTCAAACCTTGATATACTTGTACATTTTTTTCAGTTTTTCAAGATTCTTCCAGCAAACCTTCTATAAGATATGTAAGCAAAGAGGCCATTTAACAAAACTTTTTTGTTTAATCTAAATTATATATTTCTACTGATTCCAAAATAGAATTCCTGACAGCAGGTGGGAAATAATTACAGAGAAGAAGATGCTTAATAAAAAGAACACATAGGCAACAAAGTCAGATAAAGCAAAAGAGAGTCACAAGTAAAAACAAGAACAATAGAAAGGAGGAGTGAAGGAATATTGTTAACAATTTTCACAGTTTCTGTTCAGGTAATAAATGAAAGAATAAATGAGAGAGAAATGTTGGAGGAGATCAAGAAAATGAGCAAGCTGATTAGGGTTTTTCTTAACACATTTTAGCATTTTAAAATATGGAAAACAATCTGTTATGTAATTCTCAGAAATACTTCAGGCTGTATTAATTTAGTGTATCATTTGAGATATTAAAGATATGTGTCATTAGATAACTTAGTATAATATGCATACTTCAGGAGATATGCTGTGATCAATGACTAATTTATAAGAAATTCATAAGCTGTGTACAAAGCCTGGGAAAAGATAAAGCCTGCGGAATGTTTAAAAATCAGACAAGAAGAGTGTTAAGAAGCTTGAAGAGTCATTAAATCTGACCAATTTATACATGTTTTTCAGCAGGGTGTTGATATAAAAGTTGATCTGTTGGCTAGGAACGAAGAGGTTTTGCATCATTGGTTTTATTATAATGCGATATGTATTTGTGCCATCTATATTGCTAGGAATATGAATTTGACAAGCATTGCTAATATGTAAGTACTTGTCTATTTAGTTGCCTGCCGACTTCCTGTAGAGGAAGCAACAGACTTCTAATGGCAAGTTAAATTTTATCTCTTCCACCAGTTTGTTGTAGGATCCGGGAATCCCCCAAGGTATTTTGTCTTCACTCCCGTTAGATTATGAAGCCTACCAAGCATAATTATATTAGTTTGCATGGATTCAGTATTTGTCAGGGCCTGCATTTAATTTTCTGTGTCATCTGCAGGACTCACTGCTAGATACGAAAGATGAAACTGAGTATCTATCATCTTGTTAATAAAACCTTATTTGGAATCTCAGAACAATGATATCCAGTTGGATGCCTAAAGTAAATATTCCGAATAAACTGTGTAAAATTAGGTGGGATTTTTAAAGAGAAGTCCCCAGGTAAATAGGAATCTGTCATCACCACTGCCAGAATTCCATGCTAAGAGAAGCTCATATGCCAAGTTTGACAATATACTTAATACCCCATAGTCAATTGTGTCAATAGCTGCTGAGAGATCTAAGAAAACTAACAGTGTATAATCTATTTCTGAGGGATGACAAGAACAATTATTGACTGTATTTTCAGGTTCATTTCTTCATTGGTGGTACATCACTCAAAATGAAAATAACTTCTAAAACAAATTATTAAAATGGAGGAGTGCGGAACACATTATACTGTATATAAGGTGTCTACTTAAAATACAGTGGTGTCTCGCTTAGTGACGTTAATCCGTTACCGGAAAAACGTTGCTAAGCGATTTCATCGCTAAACAGAATAAAAAAGCCCATAGAAACGCATTAAAACTCAATTAATGCATTCCTATGGGCTTAAAAACTAACCTTATGCGAAGATCCTCCATAGGGGTGGCCATTTTCGATGCCTCTAAAGCGAGGCAACACAGCGGGTGGCCATTTTGTTTTTCCGGCAGCCATTTTGAAACCGCCAATCAGCTGGCCGAAACTGGGGGCTTTGCGGTGATCGCTTCCCCGTGATGATCGCAAAGCGATTTTTCCCCATAGGGACCATTGCTAAGTGATCACTCTTGCGATGGCCAAAACCCCATCGCTAAGTGATTTCGTCGCTCAATGGAGTGATAGCTAAGCGAGGCACCACTGTACTAAATTGACAATATGACAATTACTTTATCCTTATGGTATATTCGTAGCATTCTTTTGGCCAAGCTATATTCCAAAATGATATAAACATACTCATTTGAAGCTGCCTTTGATTTGAATTTGAAACAATTATAAATCTGGCTTTCCTTGTGTTAGATTTGTTAGTTTAATTGGGTTTTATTTTCTTGTTTTATAATCCAGCTAGCTATCGGTGGTATATTTGGAGATTTCAGTTCCAACAGTTCCAATTTTTGTTACTATTATTAAATTAGAAGCTATTTCTGCATTTAATCCTGTTGCAATATTTCCGTTTTATTGGACAACATATACTGTCAGTGGATCCATATGGTAACAATATACTTTTAAAACCTTGTATAATTTTTATAACTTATATACAAATATATAGCTTATATAAATGTATATATAACTGCTCTCAGCAGTTATCGATCTACCTCATAAAAAAAGAACAAAGTAAGAAATAGTGTGCCAATATTTTTAGAGGCGTCACCCCAAAAAGTTAAATTTATAAGAAGTGAAAATGTAGGATAATTTTTTGTAGATTTATGTACCGTTCTTAAAAAGTAATTTCCCAAATCTTAGTTCCATGATTTTTTAAAAAATTTTTTTGTAAACTGTCAAATTTTAATAGAAAATTAACACAATTTTTTAAAAATAAAGGTGTTATAGAGTAGAACCCTTTAACAATGTGTCAGATCTATTGTATTTTGATCATAATCTTCCCTCCTGAGTGTAAAAAATAGCAGTTAAACATCTTACTTGAAGCCACAGAAAAACAGATAAATGTTTCATACCCTCGAGTCACATCCCAAGAGACAACAGAGGGTTATTTATGATGCAATCCCATTAAAAAAATTTTGTAGCGGTATCTACATATGTTAGTTTATAGCCGCAGAGATGCCAGTGAAGATTTGTACAGCCCTGTATTCATTTGTGTATTTATCAAATTTGTATTCTGCTCTCTTCTCCAAAAATGAGACTCAAGGAAACTTTTGTGAAATGCATGATGG